AGAAACTAATAAAAAAATACTTCATAAATTGAAACAAACAAACTATAAAGGCCAAAACCTCTCTTGAGACAGAGTAATTTGTGAAAATAAACTAAATTGAAAATTTTTTTGAATAAAGGGAATTTTGAGAAAAGAGAAAAGATATTACAATTGTTCTTATAGAAAATTTAGCCTTATCCCTAAACCTTAGCATGATTTTGCTAAATATTGTCAGTCCACCTTAGCATGGTTTTGCTATATGTTGTCAGTCCACCTGAGCTACTAGTGTAACTAGATTGAAAATTTAAAAGAAACAGGACAAAACAAACTAAATATGCAACGGAGATTTGAACTTTGTAAGAGACAAACATAAGAATAGATATACTTGAAAGGAGGACTTTTACAAATATCGTCCGCTTTGATCGCCAATTGCAGAATCCCCAGCTTGTCCTAGGCGTGAGCAGCGGTGGAAACCACCCTTCATATTTCACGCCACCGTCACAAGGAGATATGGCTTGTGCAGTCTGGAGTACCCTAGGGGCCCATCATGAAGACCCTTTCGGCTTGGACCTTATTTCTTAGGCGCACGTTTGAAATGCAGGAATAGACTGGATGTGATATGATTCAAAGGATATGATAAAATTTGATTGAACTTGATAGGATGGATATATTGGAATCCAATTATAGTTCGGTTGATTATTAGATAAAAATAAAATTGGATAAAAATATTTATTGTATTGACAAAAATCCCCCTAATATTACAATTCAATTTCTTATATATTAAATTCAGTTTATTATTTAAAAAAAGGGAACACAACTTTTTATGTCTTTGAAGAGCGTACTAATAAATTGTTTTAAACTTTGCTTGCGTTTTTCTCTCCGTTTCCAACATTTTCCTTGTCATTTTCTCGAGCCCCAAACAGCTCCATTTGTACAGGATGTTGACCATTACACCTGTCTCTCAATTTTCCTCCATTTTCTTTTCCTCTCTAGTAGTTTCCCTATTCTTCTTTTCCTGAGAAAACTAGAATTCCTTTCCCAACTTCAAATGGTATATTAACACCAATTTTTGTTTGAGAAGCAAAAGCTACTCCCAGTAGAAGAAAAAGAGAAAGCAAATATTGGAGACATACCAAAATGTACAAGGATAGGGCATAATAGGCAACAATTGATAAAGAAATCAAGATTGGAGTGTTTGTCAAGTGAGATAGATGAGGGGATACATTTGGGCCTTTTGATTTTAGGAGGAAAAGAAATGGAATGGGATGATCTGAGACTAAAGAAAATGGACAAGATTTGGGACTAATGAAAATGGGAGAGATCAGTGATGGAAGATGATGAAAGGGATAATAAGGGAAGAATCGAGATTCATGGCGGAAGATGAAGAAATAGATGATCGGAGACTTGAATGAAAGAGATCGATGTTGGTAGGATGAGCAAAGTAACATCGGAATCGGTAAGATGAACAGAGTAATGCCAGAATTGGTAGGATGAACAGAGTAATGCCAGAATTGGTAGGATGAATAGAGCAATGTCAGAATTGGTATCCATGACATGTCGTGTCAGAGTAGAGAATCACGATCCAGAATGGGATAGGACAAAATTTATGTCTAATCCCAATGTATCCCTTGTTTGGTAGGATGAAAGGATGGGATACAATATATCCCACGTTTTATTCAATCTTTACCTCCTTCAACGAAAGTTATCTCACCTTCCCCATGGGATTAGGTGGGATAAGATTGGATTTTGCTTTTGTACCCCTCCTTTCTTTACCCCATGCACTCCAGACGTGCCCTAGATTAAAAGATCATCTTCTCCTGGAGCTCGGAGTGGGATGCCTCGAATCCCATGGGACTGCTTATTTCTTTCAGCTATGCAGGGGTGGAATAAGAAAATTGAGTGAGGGAGCAAAATTTTTTTAATATATTAACAAGTCGAGTATAAAATACATTATATGCAGAGAATTGTAAATGTAATTGTTATAGATAAGGCAATTTTAGGAACTTTTATTTTATTAAAGATAATAACTTTCACCTTTCCGTAACAAATGTTATTTTCAAGATATAATACCCACTTAATGAAGTTCAATAACCCAACTAGTATACTAAAATTTGAAAGTAAAGTACAAAAATTCAAGAAAGAAACCTAAAAAAAAAATGAAAAGTTTCAAGAAAAGGTTATTATGTTCACGGGTTGTTTTATTTAAGTACAAACTCCAATAAGTACTTTTTACATTAATATAAAATAGATACAATTCTTTAAAGGAGTATAACTCTTTTATAAATGGTGTTTATCCCAAACAACATTTTAAATATTTTTGCAC